ACATTATATATACATTATATAATTTTGGCTCCTTTTATTTAAAAAGATAAATAACGCGCGCGCAACGTGCGTCTGTAATGTAAAGTAAAATAAATTTTAGCATAATATATTAAATGGTATTTTTTCTAAACAGTGCATGAGGATTTATTGGATATCTCGCAGGATAATGAAGAAGTAGGAAAATCGATAAAAACCACGGAACGATTAATCGACGATTACAAACAAAGCATTGCTGATAGATTGAAACCAAAATTGAACGAATTGAAACGTGAAGGCGATTCGAAAATTGGTCTCGCCAGCGAAAAGTGTAATATTTCTTGTTAAAGTCAATTTAATCTATACTTAATTCACAATTATTAAATAATTTTATTAATTGTTAATTCATTATTTATTGATTATTAAATTAAATATTACATACAAATTATAAAATATAACAGAAATATTTATATTTTAGTGTCAGAAGCATTGAGCAATATTAAAAAGGCTGATGCGAAATTAATAAGCCTATCAAATGCTGCGATGAAACGAAAAGCTGCCTTTGACAAATGGAACGACACATTAGCTACGAAACTGCAAAATCTCAAAGACAAAATTGCAGAAGCACGAAATACTGCTGAGGGAGTAAGACTAATTCGTTATTCTTTTACATATTTAAATATATTTTTATAAAAACTGAAATAAAAGAATGATTTCCAATATACATATACATTCTTTTATTCTTTAAATTTTTTATAAACTATGCTTGTATTATGTTTCTTTGACATATCTTTCAACTTTTTAATTTATATGCTATAATTTTTAAATTAATATTTTCCAACATAGAACATTAAATAATAAGCATGAAACAATTAAGATAAATAATTATTAAAATATATTTAAAATTTTTGTTTTTAGATTCGCGTTTCTGTGCGATCGGTAGAAGGAAAGGAATGTATTCGTTCGTACAGGCCGACGACATTGCAATCATCGTCAACAACATCGATTGTGATGACATTCGCACTTCCAACAGCACGCAAGGAAGGTTCTCTGTTTTATTTGCCAAGTGGAATTAACGTATGTTTCATAATCAATTTCGTATATAAATTAAAATTAATCATTTACTTAACATACTATGTGCGGTATATACATTAAATTTTGATATTTTAATTTTTTTCATTTTTTTTCAGGACGATTTCGTTGCTTTGGAAATATTCGATAGGAAAGTGCGATTTCTGTGGAATGTTGGTGGAGGCACAAGCGTACTAACACATCCTGAAGTTCTCGGAAGTGGCGATCTACAGAACGATACATCTTGGTATCGGATCGAGGCTGAAAGGTAAATGACAATATATAAGTATAAAATTATATATATAATTATTTATACGTAATTAATTAATATATAAATAGATAATCAAATGTTAAAATTTTGTAATGTAAATATTCATCATTAGTTATCATTAATTGAAAAAAAATGGATATCAAATAATCGATATTTCTTGATCTCAGAATTCGACACACAGGCAAACTGAACGTGCTCAAGCAGGCTTCGACATCCGGAAGGTATCTCCCTGTTATGAACTCGACTAACTCTGAGTATGGTCGTTTTGACGTTTTACCTACGGACCGATTGTGGATAGGAGGTATTCCTAAATCGCAGAGAAGACCAGCAGAACTAATCGCCGGTAATGGCCTTCCGGGTTGCATTCATCAAGTTATTCTCGACGGAAAGCAAATTGGCCTCTGGAATTTCATTACGACAGCACCGGATATGGCTTGCAAAGCTTGCGTGGAAGGGTAATTCCATAAAAACTAAACTAATTAAATTTCTCTATTTCTATTTGTGATATTGTTTCATATAATTTGTTTTTTTATTACATTATTATTGTTATAATACTATTAATGTTACAGGGTGGAAGATGCCAGAGATGATATAGCTTATAGTTTCAACGGCGAAGGCTATGCCGTGAGAAACAGAGTTTCGTCTGGTCCATATAACAAATACATGTTTGGAGTCTCGATCAATTTTCGAACATTTGATGAGAATGCATTACTATTTCTAGCCATTAACAAAGATAATGTACGAACTTATTTAAATTTCCTTAAACATTTATATTAATATTAAGAAAATATCTTATGTCCTTTGCTAAAAAAGACTAAATAAAAAAATCTTTACATCAGTTAAATTTAATATGAAATGTTTATATATTATATACACAAATTATTACATTTAATAATAATTCATAATATATTTATGCATAATATATTATTAAGAAATTTTGTACGCAAAATATAACGTAATTTTTATGTCTTTATAATATAATTATATAGCCTAAAATATTACATCAAATATATATTTATTTTTATAAAACTTAATTTGATTTGTTATAAATAGAATCAGCACATCATGATTTCCCTGCGGGAGGGCAGAGTGATCCTCCACGTTGGCTATGGTGGAAACGTCAGCATGGAGATGTCCTCGACTTACAAATACAATACTGGCAACTGGACAAAGGTAGACGCCTTCCGTCAGTATCAAGTTCGCAAGAATATCGAAAAGTGCAGTCTTAGTATCGGCGGCGATGATAAGCGAATCGGTGCGCCCACACCGCAGCCCAAAAAAGAGGATATTCCGGATTTGTCGCAGGCCAAATATTACATCGGTGGTTTGCCACCGAGCTTCCGCGCCGAGAAATTAATGTTACCTTCGCAAGTATCATTTCTCGGATGTATGGCCAACATTGTAGTACAGGAAGGCTATGATCCAATGGCCGAACAATATTACGGGGTGGAATCCAGTTGTGGTAATAAGGTAAGTGTTATCATCCTCTAATCTATTCTAAAATAAATTAATTTTCAAAAAGTTCGCTGGAATTTCTTTCGATGCTATAATATTTTGCATTAACTAAACATATATTTGTTTTATTGTGTTATTGTCGTAGCCGTTGAGGATAGTTGGATTCTACGGGGATGGATATCTCGAACATTCCGCGTTCACTTTACGGAAGATCCAATCCGTTTTAAGCTTCTCCTTTAGAACTTTGCAAGATGCAGCTATGCTCCTTCTCTCTACATTCGAGGGCACCGAAGACAGATTAAGTGATAGCGAAACAAATGTAAGTTTACATTCTTATATACATAATAAACTATTATAAATATCAAAAAATTATCTTGTATATTTCTAGTTAATTATTAAATTAGTTTCTAAATTATAAAATCATGTATACGTGATAAAATACATGATATGCTCATATAGAGGAAACAAAATAATATCTTATAGAAATAAAATATAAAACTTATTTGCATATTACAATTATTAAGAATTTTGACATAATTTGTTGAATTGATTTCAGAGAACCAGCTATTATTCCGTATGCGTTCTCAATGGACAAGTGCAAGTTCGTTTAAATGCTGGCCAGGGCGAGTTGGTTCTTCAATCGAACAACACTTTCAATGACGGAAGATATCACTCAATTACTGTTATCAAGAAAAGAAAAGAAGTAGAATTAAGAATTGATGATGCGTATCAGACGTCAGGAAGATTGCGCAGCAGCATCGCAATTAAGGCTCCTGAATCGAATGGAGGACTTTTCTTTGGAGGATTACCAGCTCTCATCAATAACACTAAGATGGTAGCGACTAACACTCCATTATATGGTGCTATCAAGGATGTGATTTTCAATGATATGTAAGTTAGAATTTCAAATCTGAGTTACTAAATTTGCTTACAATTTCTTGAAAGATAGCCGTTAATCCTTAAATCTCAACGTGTTAAAATTATTTTATATTTAATTTTTTTTATAAGAAATTATAATATATATATAATTATAATATATATTACGCATCCCTTAATTGTAATACAATTTTTAAAGACATTTTGCATAATTAATTTATAATTTTTAGAAATCTACAATTTGATGATGCCGTTACTTTTGATCATGCTCTAATTGGCCGTTCCGGGCCGAGTATGGGGAAAGATATGCCGAGTTACGCACCATCGGCGTCGTTGTCCCGAGGGATGTCCACGCAACCCGAAGGATGCCAGAAAGTGCCTTACTACTCGTTAGAAACGGGGGCTTTGAAATTCGGCGATAAGCCGCATAGCCATACGCAGCTTTACCTCAATTTCAAGAAATTCTGGGAGAAGAAATATACGATAGAATTCGATTTTAGGACGTATTATCCCAACGGACTGTTGTTTATTACTCCGGTAAAAAAAATTCGTGTCGTATATTTATGATTTAACTATTTAACAATTTTGTTTGCGACTAAAATATATCAACAAAGTATATAATTATATAATTCTTCGATTTTTGCAACACTAGTTGCATTAGATATAAATATTGTTTAGATATAAATATGTTTAATTTTTAATTAATTTTAATATTTAATTAATTAATATATAACAAATATATATATTTTACAGGGTCTTAGATTGAAACATTATCTGATGGTGCTTGTCCGAGACGGGCAGCTTCTTCTGGTAGTGAAGAGCAAACAAAGAAAGGAGATACTATTTAAGACGCCATTTAATGATGGCAATTGGCATCACGTTGTCATCAGTCATGAAGATAGGAGGCTCACTCTATTAGTGGACTCGCAGACACCACGTGTTCTCAAAGTACCGAAGAGGATCGGTCTCGCGTCCATGATGTACATCGGTGGCCTTCCGGAAAGTGGAACGCCTATTCCAGAACAAGTAGTCGTCAAATTGGAGACTCTAAAAGGATGTATGAGAGGCTTGAATATTAATGGAAACATCTTCGACATGGTGGGTTCCACCAGCAGAGCTTACAATGTTGGACAATGCTTCCCGAGTGTCGAGAGTGGAGCGTATTTCCAGGACGAGGCTTACGCTATTTATCGTAAGACACAAAACTATTAAAATACAAAAGTAACTCGGAAAAAATATATAAATTGTAGACATGAAAAAAAAACAACTTAAATTTGAATCATTATTTTTACTCTCTTAAATTTAAAACAAAATATTATCTTTATTATTACAAAATGTAATGGCATCTTAAAATTAATAATGCAGAAAATACAAAATAAGAGAGACACTGCATCTCAATATTAAGAAATATTGAAAAATGTGAATCTTCCTCTCTATTCTATTTAGGATTTTTAGAGTTATAATTTCTTTCTCTTTCTCTTAGGAAATAACTTTGAGGTGGATGGCGTGCTTGAACTTCAGTTAGAATTCAGAACATCAGAAATGTCCGGCGTATTGCTGTCGATTACCGCACCCAGTGGCTCGCCTTCTCTGTCGCTGGAACTCAATAGTGGTAAGGTGATTATGTCGGGCGATCTGGGCGACAACAATCCGCTGTACGTAGAGCAAGAATTCTCCAGTCAGTATGCGATTTGCGACAATCGATGGCACAGAATCCAAGCTGTATACAATGACGAGCAATTGGCACTCAAGGTGGATGAGCTGGACCAAAGATACGGCCTGCCCACGAATGTCAATTATCATTTCAATAGCTCCATTTTCTCCGGCCCGTTGTACATAGGCGGAATACCAGGTAAACGAATATTGCATTAATTTACTAAATCAATTAAATTATTAATTATTAATTAATATTGATACACAAATCAATGACAAATAAAAAGACAAAGTAACTTCACCGTCTCATCGCTTTTAGAAAATGCTCAGCAAGGCTCGTTGTTAACACGAGACCATTTCAACGGATGCATCAGGAATGTGATGATAAGAGGGGAAAGACGAGATTGGACGGACATGGCAGAGCTGCACAACATCCATCTGAGCTCCTGTCCGGTTCAATGATAGCGAGGCATTAAAAGAAAAGGCAATTTACCTCGGCGTTCAACGCTTTTAGTTCCAAAGACTGCTCGATGAATCGCGTTGGGTTCAACAACCGCACCGGGATTAACGTGCCATATATTCGCAAGCGACGAGTTTTTTAAGACTTAACAAAGCCAAAAGATGCTAAACCGTAGACCGTTTCGTTAGGCTAATCGTCGTAACTTGAAGATAGAAAAGAAAAGGGAGAAGAGATCGTGCGCGTCGGTCGCGCCGTGGCAAACGATGGCACGAACAATTTTGTTGTATTCACGCAAAAACGTGTAATGCAAACGGTGACACGATACGCATAAATAGCGAGATCACTGCCATATAGTTTAATTATTCGCTGTAAGCCGCAAACAATCTGTACATCAGTATTTAAAAGCCATTATTTATTATCGTTAACCGTCGACCTCGGGAATTCGTCGCGTTGACGAGCTAGCAAATAGAGAATAACGCGAATACGTTTTGTACTTTTATAGTTAGATTTGTATTGAAGCCCGATATGTATGTACATTATAGATTTTTATTCAAACGACTTCGAGAAACATGTAAGTGCTCTGTAAAAAAAAAAAGAATGAAGTGTCCTTTAATTACGCAGAGAGATAATCTTCGAAGAATATTTATGAGATAGAAGAATATTTATGTTCAATCTCTCTCATACATACACATGCACACGATCTTCGTTAAACTGTAATATATTACACATATACAAGGAAAATTAACAAATAACGAATCCGCTGTGTTTCGTATAAATTTTATACTATAAAATATATAACAAGAGAAAAATCGCATGGGGCTGTGTCGCTTTCACTTATCCTCTTTAACACTTTTCTCTTAAGATCTCTACAAAGTGCCTCAGAAATTTTAGACGCAATTTCTATAAAATTTCATAATGCAATTTAATCTTGTTCCAAAACCGAAATTAAATAATTTTGTGAATATGAAAAATTAAAGAGTTCTGGAGAATTAGGCATCGAAGAGAGAGGTAGATAATAAAGTCTTATTCTTGTTTATGAATAGAATATTTAATAATGAATTTGTAATATATGTGAAGTGTCAAGTATTTTATATTAAAAATTGAAGAAGTTGTTAAGAGAAAAATCTAGATCTCTCAGAGAATATGACATTGAGGTATGATGGACCACCTTACGTATACCCATCCGCGGAAGAATAAAAGTCTATTACAAATGGGTTATTAAATTTTATTAATGACATTCGCTGCGAAGATGCTAACAGTAAATTATGACCCAAATCTTACATGATGTTCTGAATAAATATACATATCATCGAGTAGGTAGGTATACGTTTCGTTTTATATGTATATAAAAACATAATATTTACAGAGACACACGGATAGAATTCAAGAACTGATACTCGCCTTGATGTCGAAATTTCTGCGATAATAAAAATTGATAATTATTATATAACAATAATCGTTTATTATTATTAGTAAGCGCGATTTAACTGTGGCGTACAAATTTACATTGTGCCGCAGTATTGTGTGTGTGTGTGTGTGTGTGTGTGTGTGTGTGTGTGTGTGTGTGTGTGTGTGTGTGTGTGTGTGTGTGTGTGTGTGTGTGTGTGTGTGTGTGTGTGTATATATATTATGTGTGCCTCGGTGTCCTGTTTCGTTCAGTTTCCTTTCCGCCTCGATCGTTCCGTTTTGTCCTCGGTCAAATGTCACATCCAAGTACTCTATTTTTCCAGCTCACTAATAATATATCTATTCTTCAAAAAATATAAATATCAAGCATAAGAGAGAGCGACCAATAGTTGAGAGATCTCTCTTAACATCGTAACTTTGTAATCAATCCCATTTCCACAAGCCATTATTCTCGCTGGCTCTTAAGATTAGTGACTATGTATATTTATATATATATATATATATTTATATTTATATATTAATTGCAATCAATATATCTCTCTCTCTTTTCATTCTCTCAACATTGTCACCTTACCGCGATTTGCACTCCTCAAAGATCTCGCATTCTCTTTTTTCCTCTATGGCGTGTATCTCACGTTCGATATTGTCAGGTCGGACTGTTTCTGAATCTAAGATTCTCTATCTTATCGCTCTCTTTCTCTCTTGCATCATGGTACTCGGATAAATTTACAACAGACAGGAATATAGAACAATGAACTTTTCTTTCTCTCTCTTTCTCACGATTACTATAATCTCGACGGAGTTTAATCTTACAAATTCCTTTTATTACACGTGGTCGAAGAGCGAAATGCGGGACGGCGAAGCCAAGCTGACCGTGACATCCCACGCGAATTGAAGCTACATAGATACTCTCTCGCAGTTTCAGCTGCTGGAGAACATTGGATTTCGATATGTCGCGTTGTGTTTGTAATTGTTAATAATCCTGTGTACGTTTGACGCGTTACGCCGTGTCGCAGAATATAGAGGGTCTACCTTATACTCGGCATAATCGTCCATGTCGAGTCGAAGACTTATAATCGTACAAAATGATCGGAGAACGATCCTGAAGAGATCATCGCGGACGAGATCCAGGATCAGAGAGAAATAATCGTACAAACGATAGACCCCCGATATTATCGTATAAAACATCTACTTGAAATCTACCTATCTCTAGCTCCTTCTCCTCCTTCCATAACAACTTTATAATGAAAGAAACGTAACCGATCGAAAGGCCCGTTCAGCGAGATAGGAAGTCGATGCCAGTTCCAAAACAGGAAAAGCGAACGTCGAGTTTATGGCACAATAAATTATAACAATTCTCCCAGATAAATTACGGCATTCGTATACACGCGGATTGCCGTGGTTCTCTGTTCGCTTGGACTGACTAAAGTTTCGCTGAGAGATGGCGGGTAAATCCTACGGGGAAAAACACAATGTGACGAGACACGGTTGAAGAAAAGTCAGGCTGTCAAATTCGTTAAATGTCTTTACGCACTTAGTCCAATTACATTGTTCATAACATAAAGCTTCGTGTTTTCTTCTCTTTGTTTCCAAGGAAAGCAGAACATGGCTGGAAATAACAAACTCACGTGGAGTTGTGACGAAAAAGCGCAGTTTTATCGATAAAATTCGCGGTTTTGACGATGTCCATCTTCCGCCTTCCTCTCACAAGACGAATATGATTAAAGCGCATTCGGAGCAAGAAAAAGAAAACACTACGAAGTACTCTCGTTTTCTTTCCCGATGGTCTTTTGACTTTGTCGGCGAGGCAACGGTACTTATGCAAATATCCATTTTCTGTACACAATGATAACTATCTAATCCGTCGATGAAATATATCGCTCGCATTAAGACTGCTGCTTCGGCGTAAATTAATGCACGTGCATATCTCACAGTGTTTCTTACATTATAACAGACTGAAACATGTAACGATGCAATTCAAACAATCGTCATTCGCCGCAAGGAAACGGATTCAACATATGCATTATACGTCTGAATTCATCGTAAGGCTGGTCTTACGCTTAACAGGCTCAGCTAATTACGAACTTATTTATATACATTAGCTGTCGTCGTTCACATCCATCATTACCCGTTGGCAAAAAGTTTCTTTCCCCGTAAAAAAGGGGAACGAAAGGAGACACTGCAAGAATCGCGCTACGCGTTACAATCGTCAACAGCCGCGAGAAACATACGCAGTATGAGAAATCATTAATTCAATCCCGTTCGCTCGATTCACATCGGGCACTTTATCCGACGTGTATCTCAATCTATAAAATATAACAAACGAATATATAAAAAAAAACAACTTCTGATTAAAAAGAAAACTGATATAAAAAAAAGAGAAGATATCTTTTGCGTGTTATACATGAAAAAGTAAAAATAAGTTCAAGTCAATGATTTGCGCACGAGATGTATCTAAAAGATTAATGATCTCTCATGTATTTGCGTTGTTATATTCTTTAAAAAATAGTCAAACACACTAGATAATAATCGTTGAATAATTTAGATCCCTAACTTCGAGAAGGATGGAAAAAGACCTGTGCGAATTGCGAATTACGCCCGCATGCATAAGAAGAACATAAAATGCACCGTTGCCATCCTCCTCCTCCTCTCTCTCTCTCTTCTCGCTTCGTTTCGCAGAATAAATTTAAGAAAAGAATCAACTTTTGCGCATATATCCACAATCGCACGCAGCCCACGCAGTCGCAACACAGCAGTTTACACGATTACAAGGCGGTTACATGTTAAGAATTAGTCCGCAAAATTAAAGGAAATATCTTAGAGGTGTATTGACAACAAACCATTCCTATACGTAGATACTGGTAATCTTATGACACAGTGATTGATGCTGACGCTCAACAAAAAAAATGAATACAAGAAAAATAAAAATAAAGAAAGAAAAATGAAATTCTCCCCGATGATAATCCTCCTTCGTCTTTTTTACCTCTTCAAAAGCGATGTGCGATCGAGAAACGCGGAGTTTGCAGTGCCGATATGATTATTTCTTTACGGGGGTCAGCACCGATCAATTGTCCTTATAAAATTGACTAAGAATGCAACGTATTCGCATTAATTTAATATGGGCCTGTATTAAAATAGTAACTATGAACAACAGAGGGCACAGTAGCGTAATGTTAAGTGTATGAAATCACTTGTGTAAAACTATATGACGAGCGGTATGTCCTTCTTGTTCGGTAAGTTCACCTTTTTACCTTGCCAGAGGCTGTTGTGTATCGTGAAGGCATCTATGGTCACAGTCAGATGCTTCGTGTGAACTTGCGAAAAGCATTTTCCGCTGGAATTGTATCTAGAATGGAAGAAGAAACGATGCTCAATATTTAACACATTAAGAGATACAAAATTGCAAAGTTAAAGCAAAAAAGAAAGAAAAGGACAAATTCGAAAGATTAACTCTCAATTTTACTTACTTGAAAAACTTGTCGAACATATTATCGATGACTTGTTTGGGCCCAGTACCGTACAGTTTGGCTACTTCCTCCCTTTCAGGACAGTATGAATAGAGAGCGCGGAATTGGCAGCCGGCGTCCCGGAATAGGATGAGGAAGTGTTTGCTTTCGGACCTGCTGATCTCTTCCAGGACTCTCGATTTAGCTTCCTTGTTCACAGTGCCAGGGAAGACGCAATACTCCACGGCGTTCAACATTATGTTGCGATTCGATTTGGCTATCGGCAGTTTGTACAGTCTCGGGCCTGTTGCGACGGAAGTATATAAACAGTGAATCAAATTACTTAGTTTTCTTTATATCCAACTATCGAGTGTATTCCCTTAAAATGTTGTCTCTTACCATTGTAGTCCATCATAGAACTGGGCGTGCTGCTGATATCGCTGCTACCATCATCATATACCCTCTTCTTCGATGTCATCAGGGCGGGTGGGAGTGAGCCAGGTCCCGAGGGTGACGTCAAATGCCTCATGCTGCCTATGCCCGGACTGGCGGCACGCCTCGGAGGTGTCGATCTGCCCAGGCCGCTGTCCGAATCTGTATGCCGACACATCATCGTCTTGATCATTACTCGCATCTACGAACGCACGCTCCGCACATATGAAGATGCATATTTCAACGGAGATGCGAACGTCTATGCATTACTGAATTCATTAAGGAATAACGGTTGTATATCTTTCTCCTTTTGTCACCCAAGCGATAATGAATCCGAACATAGGAATCTTCCGGTTTATTAATAATGGTTAGCCACCCCGCCAAAAATGTATTAGTCACTTGTTAAAGACGTGCGAGACACCTTCCTTGCTTTAAAAGAAGGCTTCGTAATTTATATCTCATTGTGAAGACAAAAATATTTCTGCTTTATGTAAATAAAAGTACTTTATGTAAATAAAAGATAAAAGAATTGTAAACGCTTGTGTCTATCAGCTCGTTAAACCACTGACTATGCTAAAATGATTCTAATGTATATGTCATGATTTTCTAGCGTACTAATTATCAAAACTATAAATTTCTGAATCAACGCTAATGCGATGATTTACGCTGATGGCTATTCGTCCCATTTAATCCGCGAGCTCTGCGCTATGCGACAAAACGCTCGGTCAATCACTGACATTAAATAACGGGCATGAAGCAAGTTCATCCATACGGAGCACGTAAGACTCGATTACACAAATCACACATACATGTTCGCAATGAATTTGTTATACTTCATCGCCACGGTACCTGGAAATAAGAACGGTGAGGGGAATATAGAGCGGGATATCCAAGGTGATGGGATAAACCGGATACACCTAGGTCAAGTCCTAGGAAGGATTATTATAAATGGATACTACAGCCACCATATAAATCTGGAAAAAGACACCGATCGAAAAAATATACTTTGTACCCATAACCAGTGCTGTACAACAACAAGCCCAACCAAGCTTCAATCGAGCCTTCTCTACACAGCGACAACAGCAGCAGCAACAGCGAAAATGAGTCGTCCTAAGAAAATGACATGGCAAAGTTCCGCCGAAGAAATCGATAAATCGATAAATCGTGCATCGTTTTGAAAACCTTAAGAGAATCAAGATTTCGTCACGTAGTCGCGTCGGGGGAACTTTGCTCAAATGTATACGGAAAACAAAAGGAAAAAATGAGTATGATTATTGTGCGAATGTATGAGTCGTTAAGTACCACTGCCACCTGTGTGCTCTTCAGCCTGCCACCATGCCACTACGTACATGTGGGTGCATGTGAGTGCGCGTGTATGTGTGCTACTCTGCTTACAAAAATTTCGGGACAACGTGATAATATATAATATGAACATATTGTCAATATATATACAGGACACATTGAGATTGTTGCACGATATAGAAGGGAGATCGAACGTATTTTCCAAGTCACTGTGGTGCTTCTTACCGCACAAATTCATCAGAGAATTAGACTTTCTCCCCTTAAAGTTTTGGTAAGTCTGGTATTTAGGCCTGCCTCTAACTTGTTGCTGAGACTCCTGCGCATCTGCAATAACGCAACGTTTGCCTTGTTACACTCAAAACGCCATGTACGATCAGAGAGATTAAATAAGTTGCGGGGAGAGATGCTTTAATCGTGCGCATCTCACTGAGGGTGCGAGCGGAGCTCGGGCAGGGAAGACTTAAGGGATTTAATAAAAGGATAAAGTCTAACTACGAGCCATATCCGGGGTACATCGAGAATTGAAGTGGCCGGTGCAGTTTTTGGTGCAGAACAACGTTGCGTTCCAACTGAAAGATGTCCACTACAAGGCGCTACTTAAAGACAAAAATTAAAAAAAAAATAAAATAAAAAAAAGGGGGAACAATCATACCCGCAAAGTATCGTGACCTTGCTCAATCGCTCGTAGGGGATAATCAAAGGCTAATCAAATGTTTAAACATTCATCGCATAAATTTCTGAGATTATAGCTGCCCATACCAGTGTGTGATACATCCTGCAATGAGTCTACTTTTGTCAAGCCAAACGTTTAAGAAACGAATCGTACACAGAGCCTGCGGCATTCCCGCGATAAACTGTAAGCAACATCAAACCTACCTCTGGAGGTCTTGTAAGAGCCACGTCGACCGAGCTGATTCACGCTGCGGCAAGGCGAGGAACCTCTACCATCATCGGGCGAATCTACGGAAGATACTAAAAAAACGGGGATATCTATTACAATTGGTTTCAATTCACTGCAGGTTTTACACTACTTATAAATATATGAAATATATAAGGTAATCCTCAGCAGTTTGCTATACATTATATATCAAGTTACAGATATCGAAAAAACAAGTACATGCCAAATTGAAAAATGGAAAGAAGTGCAAAATAAAACATGTGAGAAAACACATTGCTAATTACATAAGTATCATATTTTATTATACATCTTTGCTTTTTATAATTAATTATTTTTCTGTAAAGACTCTCGTTTTTTAGACAATTGAATACCGCCATTTATACTGTTAAATTCAAATTAATATCTTTCAATTTTTTTTGTATGTGTAACAATGTTTTATTAATGTTCCTTATTTTAATATTTTGTCTCAAATTTAAACTTATAAAATGTTATAAATTTCTTCTTTTTGCCGCATACAAAGAAATTAATGAAATCATGACTTATTGCACAGATACCTCTGAGTATCCAGAATTTGAATAAAAAAAAAAAAAAAGAAGAGAACAAACTTGCAGGAGTGTACTGTATAAACTGTGCGATACTGTAATACTGTGCGATGTGAGAGAGTGTGTGTAGTGCATACCCCTGAGACTGCCGCCCCGATAAAGAGGGCCGGAACAACGTCGATCATCGAGGTGGGCAGCAGTGAGACTATCCTGCGAGCCTCGGTAGTAGTCTCGTCTCATCGTCGGAGAGGTCAGCGACGCTACAGTAAGTGTGTTAGTGCAAAACAATCGGCTCGATATTTTCTGTACTATTCTAGTTTGGCGTCGACATCGCGATTGCGCGATTAGCGAATACGTCGAGCGATCTACGATAGGCATTGACGCAGCAATAAACTAGTATAGACGAGAAAATCTGGAGCTCGTGAGCATGTGGTCGGGGTGAAAATTCATATAAAAAAGAAGAACCAATTATAACAGAAAACAAGAACAATTAATACAGCAAGAGTGATATCGCTAAGATTACGGAAGAGAAAACGGCTCTGATCGTCGAAAAAATCTTCGCCATGCAATGAATAAATGCATATCACGGTACAACATCGAAGGGAACTGTTGCTATTAGAGTATTACAATAGGGAAATGCACTTGCGACACAACAACTTGTAAAAAGATCGATCTTCTTGGTGATTAATTCGAAAATAAAGATTACTTTCATTTTTTCTTGCGTGAAAATATTTTATATTTTTTCTTCATACTTCGATTTATTTTCTTTTAAATTTTATGAACATATTAAATCTGTTTTCTGCTAGTATATTTAATCCCCAAGAAACATCAATGCAATAGATTATTCATTTTGTGCAAGTGCAATTTAACAGTAATCTCACCTGTACTTAAGTTGGAAGAAGAACCCTTCTTCCCACGACTAGGCGTAAGAGCCCCGGAATCCAACACCGCGCCAGCGTCTCCGTGAATCGTTTTGGGCCGCGGTCGAGCGGTTGCAGTCTTGTTACGTAATTTTGCTGGATTTATTGCATTCAGGAGTTCCTTATCAATTACCTTACCCTAGAAATACCGAATGAAAATGTTCACATTATGAATTTGCCTCCATCCCTTTAATAATGTTATTAGAAATAGCACTTACTTCTCTTTCCGCTTCCTCTATCGCTTTCTTCACCTTATGATGCTCCAAGATAGCCGCTCGCCTTTGTCGTTCTTCTTCTTTCTTGCGAGCTCTCTCTTCCGCTTTCAGTTTCTCTTGTTCCCTGCGTGCTTGCGCTTCGACTTCCTTTCTCTCTTTCATTTCCTCCTGCCTTTGTCTTCTTTGCAGCGACATCAGCATTATTCTTTCCTTCTTCTTCTCCATTTCGTCCATAGAATTCTGTAGAAAAATTCATTTTATTACATTACAATTTTTTATGTAAAATTAAAAACATGTACAAATTAAAAGCATGTACAACTACGCTAAAATAGTTATTGCTGTTCAACATTAATATAACAGACGATAATAGACGATATAATACCGGATCAGGATTCGTGAGTTGGTTCCCAATCACTAAAACTCCAGAAGCATGTCGGCTTTCCGTACTGCCATCGCGCTGTTTCTCCCTCTGTCGTTCCCTTTCCATTTCCCGTTTAAGCTCCCTGTCCCTCATTTCTTGTCTCTGCTGTTCTCTCTCGTCGGCTTGCCGCAATCTTTCTCGCTCTAATTCTCGTTGAACTTCCATTTGTTTCTGTCTCTCAACCGCACTAGCGGGAGGTGATTCAGAACGCATCGTAAAATCCTCGTGTTCCATATAGGATGATACACTTCGCTCCTAAGATGATAATTATTTTTTAAAAAAATATACATACATATATTTTTTAAAATTAAATTGAAACAAATGTAAAATACAGAGAATGATACAAAATATATAATTAAGCATATAATAAAAATACAGATATTTGTCTGCAGCAAAAAAAATAAACTCACCTTCTTAGGAGACGTTCTTTTCACTCTGAGGGTTGGTTTCGGTTTTTTGGGAGCATCATTGTCGAAAGAGATGTAGAATCCTTTCTCATTCGCGTCCGTAGGATCGAGAGGCGTGACATCCGGAGTGGCTGAACGTGATGAAATCGTCTCCCTCAACGACGGATGCGGTTGGAAGGAATTCTGCGATATCGTGGGTCTAGTTGGCGATGGTATTCTGTACGTACGACTGCCCGACGTGATGTTCAAGCCGCGAATACCTTGTGCGATGTCGTCGTCGTTGCCTTTGAAGCAGAAAAAGGAAATTTTTATACTTTCTAAGAAAGTAATTTTTTAAATTATATTTAAATTTATAAAATATATGATCGTAAAAAAAATTGTAATGTAATGTAAAAACTTGAGGATTAAATATAAAAACTTAATTACCGATAAAAGATATATTTTGGGGCTTCATGTCATCGACAGGCGGAGCTGGTACCGAAGTGTGCAAAGCTGTAACTTGCCTCTTCTCCGTCGGACTTTCACACGAAATCGGGATGTGATGTACGGTTGATCTTTTAGGTTCTGGACTTTCGCTAATTAACTGACTTATTCGATGAACCTAAGATAGCAAAACATAGTCATGTAAGAAAACGAGAATAAATATTTTCTTAATTTAATGATTTAAAAGAATACTTTCTCACACGTAAATTATATAGAATCTTAAGAAATAATTGAACGGAAGATCGTGTTATATCTAACAACATAGAGTGTATATAATGCAAAATACAAGACTTGTAGTGATAAAATTCATATATAAGACACATTTAAAATATTATCAACAAAACACTATCACTGCTGTTATCGCGTCATTATTTTCTCGTATAATTCAGCAATCGCATTTTCCGTGTGTTCGTTAAGAACGCGACGCAAACGCATAAAAGATAAACGAGCCAAGGCGAACCTTAGTGAAATAATCACGCGAGGTCGAGTCGAGGAAGTACATATTTAAATTTATAAATCACTTCGCGTAGTGTAAATCCGAGCTCGACGCGATCGTCTAGGCGCTAAGACTGCCAGTGTGGGTAGTGTCTGCCATGTTGGGTGTCAAGAACAAGCGTCTATAAACGTGCATTACATCACCAACTGGTTCCCATGCATATACGTACGCGTTCGGGCCGATCCTTCATATTGAAGTGACCAAATCGAGTTGATGAACAGCGCACGCATCGCGAACATTTAGCTATAACTTTTCACTCACACAGTAATCGCTGCTGGGCGCAGCATTCAGTCTCGCTCGTCTTTCTCTGTCTTTCGTAATAAATTGATACAGTCACGTGCGTGCGTGCATTGTATGCAGAGAAGCTGTGTTAGTATAAATATAAATAGAATTCCGACAGAAGAGGGTGAGCGTGATAAGACAATGCTACAATAAAAATAATACAAACTTCACCGAATGAAGTTCGTATTATTTTTGCTATAGTGATGCATTAATAAGTGAAAGTTACACGGGAGAGAGATTAACGCAAAAATAAAATATCAGGAACACTTACGGCGTTACGGTGTTGTGGACTAGCAGACGTGACTTGTGTTTGGTTGAAGAGCGACGAAGGCGCTGGAAAGACGCTGGTTGGACCGGGATGGCTCATTTGATTATTACATAGACTATGATCCCCGCCGTTGAGGTACCTTGGTTCCTGAGTATCGTGCAAAACGAATCCCTTTTGCGTCGGGTGCGGTGCTGCCCAAGTCCTCGTAGGATCCGCATACATACGCATGTCTTGCTGATAAGCTAAGGAAAAAAATATAAAAATAACTCACTAAAGCATATGCATTAAAATAAAAAATTACAGCCCTTTATTTCCAATCCATAAAAGCAAATTTTGTTGGATAAGCTGTACAAAAAAAATTAAATTGAAGATTCGTGCAACTTCCAAAAATTTTTCAATCATAAATTTTTCAATCATGTGTAATCATAAAATATTATTAAATTATATATTAATTTATATATTCATATAGTAAAGTGTATATTCATATACTTCTTATTAAATAGATGATAGCTTGATTTATATCATAATAATCCATTTCTATTATTTATTATAAATTAATCTGATATTTTTTACCGGCAGATTGAGGACTAAATCGCGAGTCCATAGATTGCTGATAGCCCACCGCGGCCATTTCATTGGCCAAACTCTGGGCGGGTGCCGGCTGGCCCCACATTCTTCTCTGCACTTGCGGCTGATCATGCAAATAGAACTGCGACTGCTGCGGATCTTGCAGTCTGGGTGTTAATGGATTCATCGGCGGCATTCCGAAAGACTGTAAGATAAAAGTAGAAAAATATACGGTTGATAACATTATATGCAACATGGGATGCATTTCCGGAATACGCACTTGCATGTGCTGCTGACTGAGACTCTGCAACTGCTGAAGCTGTTGTTGCATTTGCTTCTGATGCTGGGTCATCAGGTGCTGCTGCTGAATCTGATTTTGCTGATTCGCCAAACGTTGTATGTCTGCTTGAATCTCACTCAAACTATTATTCATTCTGCGACAAGTAACATTTAATGATATTTTTTGTAATTTCTACTGCAATTCTACTATTCCATTTACGAATGTAGAATCAGGAATACTAACTGGGTTATGGATTGACGATACTGTTCAGGATCCATATTCTCGATGTCCGGAGTGCGCCTGGTCTCAATGAATGGCGCATTACCATCATGCTCCAACCATTTGTGCTCGACGTCCCGCACATCCTCACTAATTTCCTACATACGTTATCAGAGAAATGGAATGCCTCAGAAAGGTATTATCATACTACAAACGTATTGTGTAATATTGCACAATGAAAATTCGATTCTTTTTTAAGGTTTTGTTTTGTGTAGAATTCATTAATCATTATAAAATAATTATAATAAATTTCCTATTCCAATTATTTAAACTGAGTATGTACACAAACTAATACATAGTACATTTTGTACAAGATTGAAAAAAAATTATAAAATTAAAGAGACAAGGAAAATGAACGATATACGAAATGTCTGTAAACCGTGTATCATTGGGGTCTGCACTTGCGTTTTTATGTGACGTAAAGTGTCTCATTGTTCATAACACTACACAAATATTTACCCGAAGTAGGCACGAATAAAACATGATGGTAGATGATTTAATTTATTAATTATTACGTTTCATAATAATTGACGATTCACAGACAGTAATGGATTGCTCTTGATCCAGTTATAGTCCGGAAACTTGGTGACACTATCTGTATATGCAACATTTTATCCGTCTGTTTGATCAATATCTTATGTAACTACGAATAATGTCAAGGCTTCTCAAATTTCTCTCGAGTTCCGGAAATTTTAACTCGAGACGTTCACTAATTACGGGTATCGAATTTAAATGACTCGCCGTAATAACAGCCGTAAGTAATAATATAATTAGAAGTGGAAACTTAAATTAAATTTTCGTGATAAAGTTAATTAGATATACACATACATATATGTACATTAAGAAAGTAAAATTTGTTTTGTTAGTAAAAAAGAAATAATATTAAATAACAAATTATATCTGAACCGTCACCCGATTAATGTTCATTTCCACCCTGATGTAGAATAACTTTAATCTCAATTTAATTTATTCCCTATCTTTTTCTAATTCTTAAAACTAAAACAAGATGAAATGTAAGTTAAATTAAAGTTAATCCAAAATTAAAGTTAATCTACATTGATAAATGGATAATAAACAAAGATACAAGATACAAATCGCTATTTTCCAGGGAGTGTTTAGTATTGCATCATGCATGCCAGGGGCACTGTATTAACGAATGCAAGTGTATCTGCACCGACGTCATTATAAAGATATAACTATCGTGATCATTCTTAGGCAAGGTTTCATTTTCCTCTATAATATAAAAGAAGCGTCAAGAAGCAAAATAATAATCCGTTATCGAAAGTAATTTCTACTGGTAGGGTCGATATATAAAGCGGCTGTACATTTCGTAGCGTTGTATTACGCCCGTAGTTTCTTAAATTGCTAAACATCGAGAGGGAGAATAATCACTTCTTCATCTGTGCGCTTTCGATGCACATCCGCACAGCAAAGACGAAAAAAAAAGAACGTAACTAACGTTGGAAAGCCATTCACATAAGCGCGTATATAAATAATCCTAATAAATATTAAAATCATACTCGTGATTTCTCTCGCCTACGTGAAACACTTGCTGGTGATATCGTACCTTGAGAGAGAAGGGTCTCTGTGGTTTTTCTTGAAGGGGTTGTTGGGGTACAGAGGACGCCTCGGATACGCTCGTCGGGGTCGCCCCGGAAGACCCGGAGGTTACAGGAGTGGGGGGACCGACTGTCTCGGCCGGACTGTCCCCCCCGGACGTTGACGAAGAAGGAGATTTAACCTTACCCTGCAACCAGCCCAACCAGCGTGCCTTGTTAAGTACTCAGAGTCCGCCACCAAATCATCACCAAACACCACGGTGCCGAGTGTCTCCCCGCCAAAACGTCACGTTACACTCAAGCGCATCAAGTGCCAAAGCTCATCCAGAGAGTGGCTCGCAAATCATACTTAATTGAACAAGTCTGACTTAAACTACGAGCACGCTATCTCGTTTGAAATTGTAAATGGAAAAAAGATAAAAATAAATTATATGTGGTGTGCATAGATATACATAATTAAAATTATATATATCTCGCCTTTAGATATTGATACATATATAATTTTATCCATGTGATACATGTATTACTATAATGTTAATATTATAAAAAAGATTAGGATATGATAATTATGCGCAATTAGTACTTTGACTAGCATATTACATTCAAAACATTTCGACATGAAACTTTCTTCTGTATTTCATACATGTAAACTCTCTACTCTCTTTCGTGAGAAATACGTTTATAAAACAGCATGCAGTGCTTTAAACAAGATGACTCCATCTACCTTTCTCTCGAATGCTATTTAAAATTCAATGCATTCACATAGCTATATCAATACTTTAAAACCAAAACGAAAAATAAAAAATTAAAATAAGAAAAAAATTAAAACATCTCGATTCAATTATTCAATTAGAAAAAGAATGATCCATGCATAACATGAACTAATTGAATAATATTAATTATTCAAGTGATCCAAGATATAAAGATAAAGAAATTCTTGATAAAAGAAAAAAAAAGAAATTAAATCTGTGAAGTACTAAATAAAAATTGCATTTGACAAACTGATAACTCCTGTTTGAACAAAAGTGATTGAAATAAAAATCAGTTCAATCCTGTTATAATAGAAAAATTTAGTGCATCAGCATGCGCTTACCATCAAGTATAGCTGAAATGTCAGAAAGAGAATTGTGTTAAGATAACATGGCTGGCAACCGAGATTATTTAAGGCAAAGAAGATTAGATCTTACTATGTACAACCAAAGATCGAAACGATAATCAACCTACATGAATATATCTAAGTAAAAAGAATAAATAGATGACTTATAAATAAAATTACTGAAATTTGAGCAATTACGTATTTTACATTCATGTACTTTGCAAATAATACTACAAGTTCAACTGATATTTTCATCATACATATGTACAAGCAATACCAAACGATTGCGGTAATTACAATCCGAAAAATATGATATGAAAAATATAAATAAAAGGCGGAAGAAAAAGAAACTTTGTACTTCCTGAGACATAGTACAAGTACTTTATACATTGCTCTATACTAAACACCCGTGCCTAGATTCGAAAAGTAGCTGTCACACAGCATGGCAGACCTTAACATGTCTCGATGGAACTCTCAACATTCTCCGTAATCGAGAATTATATTACGCGCATTATTAAAAGAATAAATCATTAAAGTTCTGATTGTAACAATGATGTGTATGTAAAACTGATACGTAAAATTGATAATGAGAATGATGTTCGAATAGATCAATATTATGCAATCTTTCTAAATTATGTTTAGAATAATCCCGTATGTTTTACCTTCGTAACCGCTTGCAGGAACGCCGCCTTTCCCATTTTCTCCCGTTGTTTCGACATAACAACTTCCATCTTTCGTTTCTCATTTTCTATGTGTCGCCGTTTCTCTTCAAGCTTCAATCGTATGTTATTCAGCTGTGAGGCCATTATAGTATTGCCGCCGTTTTCATCTAACACCACAGAATATTTTCAATAATTCTAACGAAATAGACAAATATGAATAGAATTAAATTCAGTTTACTCAACTTTATCAACGAAGAAGTAAACATAGGTCACTAATATTTTTTTTTGTAATCGGCTAGAAATTTTCTAAATAAATTTTATTCTTGCTTTGATAGAGAGAGCTTACCGATAGAATGTTGCTCCAATTGTTGCGACTGCTGGCTACTCTGCTGTTGCCATGTGGTCGTGTTTGGTAGAGTAGCAAATGTCGTTTTTTCTCGCCGTTCCTATTGCCATTACTCTGACCGTGTTTCTTGTTCGATTTAGAATCATCCTGTTCCGTGTACGTGAAATTGATCCCTTTTTCCGAACTTTGTCTACTCAGATTCGCAAAACTAGCAAATTTCGTAACGGCGTCGCCGCCACCACCACCGCCGCCGCCGCCGCCGCCGCCACCACTACCACCACCACCACCACCATCACCGCCACTTCCGCTGTTGCTGTCCGCGCCGTTGTCGTTCTCTGCGTTGGAATGTAAAATTTGCCGGAGAGCGACGTTATCCAGACTGCTGTTGGACGCCTGTCGTCGTAGCCTTATCGGCTCCTCGCCGCCACCGTAACCATTGTCCGCGATTATGTGCTGCACTCCGCTGCCGTACACATCCTGGACACTGGATCGCGCGGGCAACGTCGGCTCGGTGGTGCTACGCTTGCCAGTATGCGCGCCTAGCTCTTTATCCGGATTTCTACCAAAATTGTGTAAATTATCCTGGATAAAAGAAATCATTCGATCATACCGCTTGTCCACTCGAGACAATCCTCTCGACGCTTGTCTTCCTGATGCGACGATAAAGATAATAAACACTCCGCGCAGTTACGTACCTGAGACCCGCCGAAGTTTTCAATGGTCAGCTGAGAGTCGTCCGTGATGCTGTTCCGTCTGGACCGACGTCCGGCATAGGAACTTCGCCGTTGTTCCTCCCAGTTGCTCGGCCGACCAGCGGCTTCAGTTCTGCCTGCGGATTTCTCATCAGCTACGGAGCTCAGCGTGGGAATACCTTTGCCACGATGCACTACAAAGCTCTCCTCGCTTCCTGCGCGCCTATGAGAAAAATTAAACTTGATTTCTACTAATTATACACAAATAAGGTTTCTATAAAAATTTATTTTTTAGTTCAAACTGATCATCTGAATGTTTATTAAGCAATTATATAAGTTTACAGACATATTTTGAGGATATTAAATTATATGATAACACACCTGTCGTCGTACGGATGACTCTCAGCAGTTTGTTGCAAAGACTGCGACTTCTTCACCGTGCTGCTTGATGTCGACTTCGTAACTGGAAAGATAATTCAACGATGAATCGATCGTCTGTCTATACTTTTATTTAACTGGATGAGGAAATTCATTCATCACTCAAACTATATTCAAGAGAAAAACGATGCTCAACAGATAATAAATTTACATTTTATATTACATTAAATAAAGCTTTCGCAACGGATTATTTAAGGGCACGAAATTCCCACAAGTTATTTTTATCGCCAGCAAAACGATTTAAATGTGAGAATATGCAGCGACGGAGAATATGCGTCGATGAAACGATAACACGTGGGAATTTCAACTTGCGTAAATTTCAAGAATTAAAAAGCCTATGTCATACACTTTGAGAGAAAAAATATACGTCGAGTCACGCTACAAGCTAATATTTTAATCTCTAGCCTTTGTCGTAGAGTGTCGGACAAATTTGGAACAGAATGTGAAACGAACAGCTCGGTACATGAAACCATAAACCAAATAACACCATAAACAATACAAATACAACGTCGCAACATAATCGTACTAACTAAACATGGAGTGGATCTTAAATGAACGATGAAGGTTTCATCTTTCTCGTTGACAGTGACTGAGCAGCGCAACATGACTCAAATCTCATGCAAAAGAAATATAAAATGAAGCCAATGATCCTAATGCAAGCGGCAGGCAGGCCAATGATCGTGTTGCAAAGGTACGCGACTCGCATGCAGGTCTGTTTCCGAAGGAATATATATATCACTCTATGCTCTCATGATAATGATCGAATAAAATGCAAACAATATGTGATTAGTAACAAGCAGTGCTCCTGACAATTCACGAATTTCGCTAAGAGGCTAGTCTAATGAGATTTTTTTTACGTATTTTTTTTTATTTTAATTACTCACTGTAAAACGTACGTATGAACTATACGTAAAACGCATTCTCTGTTTTTCATTTTCAGAAAGAAAAAATCTTTCTGCGTCAGAATTCTAGAGTCATAGCTTAATTTTCTAATAGTGATTTTTCTTTCAAAACAATATAAGAAATATATTTTCATCAAAAATATAGTTTTATATCCAATTGAAAAACGATACATATACTTAAAAAAGACTGATAAAAACTAAATATTAGAATTAAATTCTAGATTCAAGATCACAATTAAGCTTGATTATAATAATTATTGGCGATTATCAATCACAATATTACATTTTATTCGGTTATACACTACTTATTGACTATGATTGGTGCGTCGCATTGGGTGACCCAGTGCACCTATATACATGAATGATAATGCGACAAAGAGATCATGAGATCGCTGATACCTTCGAGACACTCTAAAAAAACGACAATGTCAGTCCACGAAAACGCGACTCGCAAAGGTAGACGACCACCTAGTAGACATGAGATTGATTCTTTGTGTGGTAACGTATGGATACCTGTGAAACCTGGCGCGGATACGGAGAGGTTGCTTCTCAGATCAGGTATCGGAGCTATAGACTGTGGCAGACTTCTCTTATGAGCTACGCCATGACTATTGCGCGGGCAGGCTGCACCCGTCGCCGCGCCGTATCATGTAGTTCAACCGGAAGTTGACGAAAGAAGAAGGCGAGGATAGCGTTGTCGTGTCAAGCGTCAAGAAGAGGTTACGCCATAGAAATATATGGAAATATTACAGTTGTAGATTAAGTGCTAAGAGTGGAGGTAGTACGTAGTTTGGCTGGTATATCATATCTCTTTGCTCGTTGCAGCGGCGATCTCTGTATTGTAATTTGTATTCGCAAAAAGACCAATTCGTATCGAATAGAAATAATATTAGTCGCTGCTCTCGGGGGGGGGGGGGGGAGAAAAAATCCGGATCATGAGGCTAGGATATCGAATGTGTGTGTGTGTGTGTGTGTGTGTGTGTTGTGTGTGTGTATATCGACATTAATAAAAAGCGTGATACCATTACGATTGCAGACAATGTTTCTTATATTCATGATTTATTTATTTAAATTATTTAGTAATATATTGAATTAATTTTGTTAATTTGTAATTTAGGTTAAAAATTGCTCGATGTACGTAAATTGCCTGCAATGGCAGTGGGAATTCATGGAGGAAAGTATAATAAAATAACAGAACGAGTATATATAAAAGTCCAGTGTACAGCAGCCTCCACCAATCACATTTATCCACCACCAATTTTCACGATTCTCTCTTTCTCTCTCTCCCTCTCGCTCTCAGCGAAATATAGCTCGAGTGCCACATATTGTCGCGCAGATCTGCTTCTAATAAACAATCTCATTCCAGATTGAAAAACGTGTACGTACCATCTAAGTACTGCATCGCTCGCTCCTCACCGGGATAACGCACACACTTCGCCGGATGAATCTCCAAAACGTTGTACATATCAGCCAGAAAAACTACCAGATTCTGCTTCATTGACCTAAAAAATTATGACAACAATCATCAAAAGGGAAAAAAGTTGATAATTATCTTCTCAAAAACAAAATATATTATAAATAATTTATAAAATATTTATATTTCTGCGTGATATACAAGTACAATGGAAATTCCGAATTAAATTAAATTAACGTACCCTCTCATGTACGTGACGTCCTCAGGTTGCATGTGGAAAATCGAGTAGGGCAGGCATTTGACGCAAAACGCGTGCACCAGGGAGAGATTGTGCAGCGCGTCCGCTACCGAGGGTCTCTTCGATACCCTGATCTCCATCCAGTTGAGCTCGCTGGGACAGTAGAAAGCGACAACAGCCGCCAGGCCGACACCGTCGCACAGGGACTGAAAGTCCTTAGCAGCGGGTAGCTCAGGCAGCCGTGTCTTATCACCGGCACCTTCCTCGCTCTGGATTTTAGCAATTAGGGCGTGCGATGCATGATTGATCCAGAGTAAGAGGCCTTTCTCGTGATCCGACGGAACGTCCACTTCGGCTTGAGGATCAAACCGTCGTATCGCTGAGATTACCCGGTCTCCCGTCACCACCTCTTTCGCGTACAAGACCATCAGGCCTTCTATCACAGCCATATGCGCGGACTACAAAAGGACAAAGATATCATTACAATAAGCATTGATTAAAACAATTCCATGTTTAAGAATTTGTTATAAAATTTTTATATATCAAATTTATATATAATTTTCGATAATACTAATATCAATAATTAATTTCAGATTGCCACACTTCCTGAAAATGATTGATTTAAATATCTTGAAGAGGAAGAAACACGTCTACGCATACATTGCCGCTGACAAGCTTACCATCTTGAGTGGTGAATTTTGGATGAGGATCGTTTCGGTGAGCTGAGTATTGTTCTGCTCCGCAACGTAGACGCCTTTCCTGGCCAAGGCTTGCAGGATCCCATAGTGATTCTGATTGTGGTAGTTGGGATCCGAGTATATGTTGGCCAGCGCGAGGCAGTAGAGCTCCGCATTGGAAAGCGCGTGAACGATCTGCGGTTTCAAGTGCTCTTGTTCCTGTAAACATCAAAATTCATTTCTAAATTAACAGGTAATTACATAATTTAAATAAAAAATAATTATATCTATGTTAATACGACTGCGCGATTATTTAATGGGAATGGGATTTCACAGCTTCATAGAGATAATTATTTAAAATAATAAATAAACAAAATAAATTATTCTACTAAATCTAATAAAGAGATATTTTGAAGATTTTTAATATGCAAATTCTGGCCAATAAATAAACTTTTCATATATGCATTTTTGCAAATTCAAAGAAACATAAGAATTTTTATCTCATAAATTTTTTACGCCTTAATAGTTAATTAATCTAATAATTTTTTTCTTAATAATTAGCACCTTGACTTAAGTAACATTTAAAATGACAAAATACATAAATTTTAAGTTTAAAGAACTCGACGTAGTGAAAATGCCATAGATGATCGAGGGGAAGAGCGACCTTGTCTTTAATGACGATTCGCTTGCTTTTTTGCGACGACTTCATGGTTGATCGCCGAAGGATGCAAAAGCTTCATTTTAACTAGTATCCAAGATGGCAATACGAAATAATCGATATAGATTGAACACTTTAAATCTGACACAAAGCTTTTTTTTCAGAAAACAAAGCAATGAATAAAGAAAATCGAAGAACGATTATAGAGAATAATTAAGATTTTATATACAAAACTAACTAAATTTACTAACTTCATATCATATATTGCTTGTTATTATCTATTTCTTCTTCATATAGATTCGTAATCAAATAAGTAACAAAATAAAATAATGTACGTCCAAATATCTTTTATCTTAAGATAAGGAATCTTTTATCTTAAGATAAGAATAATAAAACAGAGATAAAAGCATAATATAAGTAACATAATAAATGGTAAAAAAAGGTAATAAAATAGAACTTTATTTTCTTGAAAAATCTTTTGAAAAATACTCTCTCATAAAGTTTATTTGACTAATATTAATTAAATTAATTTTTAAGATCAAAATAGATAAATAATACCTCGCAAACTACGATTTTATTGGGTTAAGCGAGTAATAGTTAAACTAAGTAACGTTGAAGAGATGAACATACAATCCGCTTCATACAGTTTTACTAGGATTGCAATGTGAAATATCGAAAATAGGATCTGTAAGAGTTTTTGTGTAAAGTTGCTGAAAAAACGATAGAAAAGTAAGCGAAGCAGAGATAATTGAAAGATAGTAAGCACCATGATTCCTAGCGTCTAGTGTCTAGTAATAAATATAATTATATTGTGTTCGTGAGCGAATAGGAAAAAGGGAAACAAATATGAAGCAGAAATATTGTTAGCGATCGTTAATCATCTTCGTGCAAAAGGAGTTACATTGTAGTTTATCTCAGTTTCCTTTCTAAGTCGTTTAATATTTATGATCCGTAAACTGCAATTGTGTAAGTTCGCGAGTGCATTTCTCGTCTTTATTTCATGAGAATATTTAAGCTTCCTCATTTTGCGAACACGCACGTTTCCGCAAAAAAGAAATATTTTTATTTTGTTACACAAAAGAATTTAATTTGTATCAATCTGCAGAGATTGCATATCTTCAAAGTATAAAAATATTTTTGAAGTTGGTTTAAAAAAAAAAGATCTTTTTCCTAGATATTACAGAATTCTCTAAGTTTTTTTACGTGGCAAAAGTAAGTATTCTTTTATCAAAATACATAAGAAAGAATATAAGAAAATCTGAAAATTCTTACGTAATAATGATTAATGAAAAGCGAAAAATTCTGCGAGGCATTCCAACTTCCGTGACTATCAAAGAAACATATTTCTAGTAGAAAGTATTTTGATGTAACTCTTACATATGTGTATTTCGTGGAAAAGGAAAGCATTTGTCATAAGCCTTTCGATATTTATCAAGATTATTTGAGCTCTTACGTCACATCGATGGACATTTAGTCCTCTTGAAGAGCGAATAGTTTAAAAATTTATAAGAAATAATAATTAAAATTTATGTCTTTCCATAAATCAAATCCACTTTCAAGCAGATGTTCTGAATGCGTTTCGTATGAAGAGACATTGTCGACAGACATTTTCCTCGCGAAGATGAAGTACAAAGTTTCAAGTTTCCATAAAATTTCCCAGAACTTCGTGGAAGTCCAGGACTTATATTTTCTCGAAGGATTATCGGAGTAGTGTGAAGTAAGCTATTGGCAACATAATTTGTAACGCGACTTTCGTTCGTTCTCATCGGAGTTCGGTGCGATATTGTGCTCGCAAAAGCATTATTAGCATTTCTGGCTGCATAGATACTTCGGTGATTTTGCAGCACCGCCTTTCACGACCAAGGGGGATCCGTTTTCTCCATCGCGGAATAATATGTGCTACAAAGAAGAGGTTTTCCAGGACACCGTCGAAGCCTGAGAAACCGATGACTTTTCGACGAGGAAAAATTTATCAATCTCAAAGTATGAAAAGAGGTGACATGACATGGTCGCGAAATCAAAGCATGTAAAAAGAAACATGTTAAATACGCCTATAGGAAGATAGATTTTTTTCTATACGGAAAATCCATCGTCTTTTAAATATGTATTATTAGAAAGCAATACAAGACAAAAAAAATTTAATAAAATTGTAAATATGCATGTAAAAATTATAAGTTTTTAAATTATGTATTAATTTTATTAGTTTTTCGTAATTATGTATTAATTAATTCAAAAGTTATTTTAATTTATAATTGCGCAGCTTGTATACTATATAATGTAAAACTTTGTTAATATTAATAAGATGTTTTGCGTGAAACTTGCGTGGAAATTTTAAACTCACCTCATGATCACGGTAATAAGGGTCGCGGAGCTTTTCTGGCACTCGATTGTTGTATGCCTTCGATAGAAGCCATTTTACGGAGGCACGTTGTTTGGCCTGAAATCAAAAAAGAAAGAATAGGAATTGAGAAAAAATATATTTAAACTATTAATTTAATTAACTTGATATTTTTGATTAATTTTCTCATTAATTCTTGTTTACTTAATTTTTTTCATAAAAATCAGGATAATCAATATTTTATATTTTTCATATTAATATTGTAGATATACTTGTTAACAAAATTAAAATCACTCAATTTTTAAAATTAAACATTGTAAAAGAAAGCCTTCAAATTTTTAGAAAATTTCGAACAAAATTCTTTTTCAGCTTGCATAATTTCGATGTTAAAGTTCTGTTTTGCAGGAGCGACTTGAAAGTGGCACTATTTACGGCAGAAGCATTGTCGAGAAAAAAGTTTAACATGATTTAAAAACAAAACAGTTAGAATTTAAAATGGTTCTTTGCAAATTGCATCTACAATTATTGTTCGCAAAGTTATATAAATATATATTTCTTCATTTTTGCCATCGATTCAAAATTGACCTTTGATCTCAATGAATAGTGTACATATAAATTATGATTGATGATCATAACGAGATCTTCACACCCCATTCTTGCTTCCATTTGCACCCGTGCCTTTCACCCGGCAATAAGATAAGCCGCTCCACGAACCACTCGAGATCCTTCTCGACATCCCGGATTGTAAGTTGAAAAACGCCCCTTTAGACGTCCTACCACGTAATCTGATCCCTTTTTAGAAAAATTTATTCCTCAGAAGAATTCCTGTTGCATGAATTTTATATTTATTTAAAATCATGTCAATTATCGTATCGGTCTCCTCTCGAGTATCAGTGAAATAAATCAGCAACGGGAAACTCATTTCCGCAGCCAATAATTTCTTGGAAGCGTTAGTCTCATAGATCCTTAACATTTTTTTATTAAAGACATTTTCATTTTATAAGAATTTGCCTTTGCATATTATAGTTTCATAAATACATAATATCGTGCATATTAATTTAATTGTATGCGGGTGAATGAGACTTTTTAGAATTTAAGGATTCTTGACTCTAGAAATCCTACAATCAATATAAAAAAATTAAAAATCTTTAAGATTTTTAAATCTTTATGATTTTTAAAATATATAAATATTTTAAATATTTTTTTAATATTTTTACAGCTTGCATTAAGCTTCTTCAGTTTAAATCCATTTCCATCTTCAGTTTTTAAATATACATTCTTTCTTCCTTTCCCTCTTGGTTTAATTACAAAAAAATTAAGTTGTTTCGCAAAAATATCTCTATCTTTAAACTTCTCTTCATTTATTATTTATTCACGAAATCATTAGAGTAAGAAATTACTAATGTCATATTGTAATAGCTGAAGTTCCTATCGTATTTAAAAGCATTCGCGGAATGCACCGGATTACATTTAACCCGCTCATACACGTGAAAAAAGTGTGCCGTAT